CATTATTTTAAGAATGTATGAAATGCCTTTGAAGTTCGGTAATATTCCTTAAGTTTATAATTATAATATTCTGCATAATACAGAATAAAGAGCACATGCCTTCTTTTAAAGCATTCTTTACATTATTTTAAGAATGTATGAAATGCCTTTCAAGTTCGGTAATATTCCTTAAGTTTATAATTATAATATTCTGCATAATACAGAATAAAGAGCACATGCCTTCTTTTTAAAGCGTTCTTTACACTATTTTAAGAATGCATGAAATGCCTTTCAAGTTCGGTAATATTCCTTAAGTTTATAATTATAATATTCTGCATAATACAGAATAGAGAACACATGCTTTCATTTAAAGGTTAAGAGTTTTTATTTTATTTTATGACAGTCGTTGTGCAGCCAGCCCAACTTTTAGTTTGCGACTATCAATGTTCAACTCCCTATTCTTGTGATTTTAATCCCAATCCAGTTGTTTGTGGATCCAGGGAACTTCCGTATCAAGTATTGGTAGAAAGTTTGCCTTCTTGTAGGACTTTTTGGTGGATCTAACTTGCATTTGCGTTACCGGAAGAGGAAACCACGAGAACCTTCCACGGATCACCTAACTGGTGAGGGTAGTCTAAGCCATGGTTCGTCTACCTCTGAGGATATTTTTACGTCAGCTCTATGGTCGGTGTGAGCTGGTTGCTGAATCAGTAACGACCAACCATCGCCCGGTTCTGAACTGGAGTTACGTCTCTGCGGAGCGAGGTGGGCACTCCATCTCCAGAACCACCGCATATAAAGCTTAAGAGTTTAAACTATAAGTTCATAAAATTAAAATTTTACTGTAAGTTAAATAATAAAACATACGCTAAGACGAAGCTACATTATAAAACCTCTACTAAATGTAAATTTTATACAGGAGTTATTTTCAGTAATTTCACACAACTCTCCTGTCTGAATTTCATTAAGAAAACTAAAATAATGAAATAAGTTTCTAAAATAAGCGTGATATTATTATTATCTTACTTTACGTTAGAAAACTCTATTAGTTCATGCGTTTTAAGAAATCTATTTAATCGAGTAAAGTGGCAGTTTAGAATGATTTAAATTTTACTTTCTCAAACAATTACTTGTGAAGGATTTCTGAAGGCGAAGGACTTTATTTTCAATTAACAATTTCTAAAGACTGTTCCTTAAGAAGTCTAGACTTTTAGAAACTCAATTGAAAACAATGGCTATGTTTTAAGGAAGATTCATCTTCTTAGAAAGGATTTTAACATCATTCACCTTAAATAAAGGTATTTCCTAAATTTTGAAGGAATTAAGAATTTAATACTAAAAGCGTTTAATAAAAATACGTGTGTTTAATTCCATTTGCGATGCTATCTTGAAATTTAGACAGCTTCTACGCTGCCTAATACAAAATAATATGGTCACATCAACTCTGTGCATATATCCGTAATGTTTATTATTACCAATTTATTGATTATTTAATTTTTTTATTCAGTACAAATAGTGAGTGTTCAGCTAGTATAAAACAAAAGTCATTAAATACAAATTAAGTGCTTACTGAAAGTGATTTAATTACGAACCCAAAAATTCCACTCGTCAAACATTAAAGTATGCAAGAAACGTTTTTTGACAACAATTTTTATCAAACAAATTTACGCTTTAATAAAAATCATTATTTATAAACTAAAAAAAGTGGAATAAAGAATACTTAGGAAACAAAACAAAACGAATCTAAAAATTCCTCACATTAATATAAGAAACTTTCATGTTTCTTTTTGCTTTTTTTTTATTCATAATCGGACATAGAAAACCATTCTTTAGAAAATTATCATCAAATAAGAAAAAAAAATATTTACAAGTAAATTTTTTTATTATAAAAATTTTAACACTTACCTGCTTTATAAATCCAGAGAATTTCAAAATGATATGTTCTTCATTTGAAAACTTTATTCTCAATATATACATAGATTATCCCTTCATTACTTTAAGATGACGTACCACACATTAAAATTTTATAATGGCAAGATCTCGATATGGATTTCAATATGTAACTTAAAAACAGAATAGCTGAATTTTAGTTGAAATTTATTATTCAAAATTAAAAAATACTTACCAAGAAAACGATAAAAATGTATTAATAATCAACATAAATGATATTATTTCAAGTAATTCGGATGATTCTTTTTTGCTCTCTCTGAATTATACAGATTCAGAAATATATACTATTCTGTAACTATTACAGTTCTGCATGTTCTGAAATCACATTTATTCATTGGAATAAACCAAGAAATGTTGACTTCACTTTAATTTGTAATGAATTGAAGACAAAAAAAATTTGATTTTACAGTAATACGCACATCTGTAACAGCATGGAAGTTATCCGTTGCAAGTTTGTTGATAATAGAAAGGTAAAAATTATTGAGAAATTTCTTCAAATGCTGGGCGTGCTCTGGTTCTGAAAGATTTACCAATGTACTGGGTTGTTTGTTCAAGTTCTTCTGCCTTTTCCATAGAGAAATTTTGTTTCTTATTTGATGCTAAGAAAAGACGTCCGACTTTGCCAATGATTGTGATAGAATTAAATGCCTGATATTTTCAGGCTCCCGTTAGAGGGCGTATTCAAACGTTGCAATCGGAAATAGGGAAAGAAGTTAATAAAAACAATAAAAAACGTATTTAAAATGTAAAATTAATCAAAAAAACATTCAAATATTTAGTACTTGTTGACCTTAACATACAAACGTAAACTAGGAACAATCCTTTTAACTGGTTTTCTTTCTTTATATGTATATACAAAGTGATGTGACATACGCATTAATAGTAAAAAAGAAATAGTAAAACAAATAATATCAATTTTACCGCATTTAATTAATTTTACGTTTTTTTTCACATAAAAATAAATTTCATTCTACAGATTTATTTTTATTTAACATGAAGTCTTCTTTAAAAAGATTTGAATTGTTTAACAAAAACGCAGGTAAAAGGATATGTATTTCATGTACGTCAACTACTTTAAATATAGTGCATTTCGTAAAACAGCACTTTTAAGTAAATGTAAATTAAATAATTTAGTTAATTTATACTTGGTCTATACTTAATGCAAAGCCCCCACAAAATTTAATTAACTAAATATGCTTTAATATAATTATAATTTTTTTCGTATAAAAAAATTAATTGTTTCGGTAAAAATGTATTAGGTAAAGAAAAAAAATTAAAGCAGCAAAGTTCTCCCAAATTTCAGATAGTACTAATATAAAAAATTTTTCTTTCATTTCTATCTTATTCTTTAATTTAATCATCGACATCCTTGAAATTTAATAAAAGTAAAGGTTTCTTAATGGGTATATCTTTTGAAATTCCTTTTATGCAGCAATTAATTGAATTTAGAAAAGAACTTTTTTAAAATAAGCAATAAGTTTCAATTTTAGAGTTATTGTTACATTAGCTCGTTGCTGGGTTGTTATAAAAATAAAAAATACTAATGATGATGAGGATTTAAGAGATAAATTGGGGCCGAAACGAATCTGTATAGGTTTGCACAACACATCATGCCGCAAATGTTCATACTTATCCTGAAGAAATACACTTCATAAAAGACATACCTCTTGCTCTCCTTGGAAGTTGTCCTCCTTTTTTTTTTTTTAGGCTGCAAGGAAAAAAAGACATCTAGTCCACTATAAGAATGAGCGAGTCCATGTTATGGGCACTAACATTTTTTTTATTTGATGTAGATCACTGACAGAACACAACGTCACACTATTCAACAGGAATCATATAGCACATCAACAGCCGGAAATGAGAGAATTTGTTTTCTTTAAAACACAACAGTGGTACATTGGTGGGGATCTGGAGCGGTGGGCAAGGCATAAAATTTGAAGACTCCACAAAACGCATCGATGTTATCTCGGAATACTTCCATTATTGGCGTGTTAACAATAGCAACAAGACATAAATTGACTTTTCAAGAAGAGATGTTTACTTCAATAAAAATTATGCACGATGAAGATCGCCATGAAATGTCAGCGTAAACACCCATGAGGGGGTGGAAGAAAAACTGTGGAACATCTCCGTCTCTCAAGGAGAGGAGGGGGTAAAAATTAAAAATCCCTGTTAAGGGATCGTAAGTTTGTTTTGACAAATGAATTTCGAATGCTGCCCGCTCCCAGAAATGGGTGGTATTTAAAGAAATAGCTAGAAGTGGAAGTTAAACTTCCTAAAAAGCAAAAGAATCTAGCTTAAGGAGCGAACTGAAGTGAGTTGACTAACCCCTTAAATTTAAGCATAATTAAATACTAACGGCGACCGTACAGTAACTAAAAACATGTGTTGACATCAAAGGTCGCCGACAGCTTTTTTCCAAGAAAAGAAGTGTCTGAGGAATGTGCAAGGAACTTCCTGGGTAAAATGTCCTCATTGCGCTAACGCGTTAAGGGGCGAGAAGAAAAAGATGAAGACAATAAAAATTGTATCATAAAATTATAAATTAAGCCGACAAAATAAGTATTTTGATTAACAAAACGGGATATTTAGAAATTAGGCTGTGACTTAATGTCACATTATACCCGCAGCCGGTGAAAAAAAATTTTGAAGAAATTTTTTTTTTTTTTTAAGCTAAAAAATCGTAACCAAAAATATTAAAATTAATAATTTAACAACCTGCCGTACCAGTCCACCACATCAGCCTTAAACAGACATTCAGATGTTACATATAAAACTTACATCTCAAACATTTTACAGTATATTGGCCTCAAGTAGAAATGCTGTGCCCCAACTTAGTTACAATAACAATCACAACACAAAAACGGACATTAACAGCTGTACATAGCTGATCTTGAATATTACAAAGTAAACAATCTTAATTGTTTGCTAAACAGTGAAAAACAATGTTAATTGTTCGCTAAAAAGTAAAAAAACACAATGTTAATTGTTTGAAAAAAAACAACAACAAATCTTAATTGTTTACAAAAACAACAACAACAAAAACAATCTTAATTGTTTGCTAAAAAAAACTTTTGCTAAAAAAAAAACTTTTGACCTACCCGATAGTCAAAACAAAGTTCACTCGACATTAAAAAAATTATCTCCATAGAAGATAAAATTACAGAGATAAAATGTGACTCAATGAGTATATAAATAACTCACTCAATAAATGTGAAAAAAATAAGGTAATTCATTAACTCAAATGGTTCCTTATAAAAAGGAATGAAAAAAAATTGATTTTGTTTGCTGAATTATGCTTATTAAAAAAATTGAGAATTGCAAACAAATGAAAACAAATCAGGCTCACATTGTAGACTGATGGTATTCCGAGGTTAAACGAATGAAAAAAAATTTGTACAACAAAGTTTTGTACAATTCAATTATTGAAAAAAAATTAAGACCAATCAAATACGACTGATAATTTAGTATTCCGAGTTAAAACGACAAAAATTAGTATACAACCTATGAATTATGCATGGGTTCAGAAATCAAAGTCATTAGTGAGATCAATTAAGTGCACAAAAATTAACAAGTTAAAACTTAGAGAGATTNTTTATACCCACAGCCGGTGAAAAAAAATTTTGAAGAAATTTTTTTTTTTTTATTTAATTTAAATTATAAAAATTAGAAGAAAAGCCAAAAGTATTCGTACCCAAAAAGCATTAAAATTAACAATTTAACAACCTGCCATACCAGTCCACCACATCAGCCTTAACAGACATTCAGATGTTACATAACATTCGATCTCAAAACATTTTTGACAGTAAATTGGCCTCAAGTAGAAATGCTGTGCCCCAACATAGTTACAATAGTAATCACAACACAAAACAGACATTAACAGCTGTACATAGCTGATCTTGAATATTACAAAGTAAACAATCTTAATTGTTTGCTAAACAGTGAAAAAACAATGTTAATTGTTCGCTAAAAAGGAAAAAAAACAATGTTAATTGTTTGAAAAAAAACAACAACAAAACAATCTTAATTGTTTACTAAGACAACACCAACAAAAACAATTTTAATTGTTTGCTAAAAAGCCTTTGCTAAAAAAAACTTTTGACCTACCCGATAGTCAAAACAACGTTCACTCGACATTAAAAAATTATCTCCATAGAAAAAAAAATTACAGAGATAAAATGTGACTCAATGAGTATATAAATAACTCACTCAATAAATGTGAGAAAAATTTGAGGTAATTTATTAACTCAAATGGTTCCTTATAAAAAGGAATGAAAAAATTGATATTGTTTGCTGAATTATGCTTATAAAAATTGAGAATTGCAAACAAATGAAAACAAATCAGGCTAACATTTGTAGACTGATGGTATTCCGAGTTTAAACGAATGAAAAAAAAATTTGTACAACAAAGTTTTGTACAATTCAATTATTGAAAAAAATTTAAAACCAATCAAATATGACTGATAATTTAGTATTCCGAGTTAAAACGACAAAAAAATTTAGTATACAACCTATGAATTATGCATGGTTTCAGAAATCAAAGTCATTAGTGAGATCAATTAATGCACAAAAAAATTAACAAGTTAAGACTTCGAGAGATTTAAAATTAAAAAAACTTAAATTAATAGAAACGCCTAGGCAAAAACATTGAACTTAACACCTGCAAAAACTAAGTTAGAAATTACACCTTAAAAAATCACAGACATTTTTCTCACTAAAAAAATTGATCACATAAGTATGTTGAAACCATAGGCATCATGGCCTAAACACAACTATGTATAACAAACACACACCAAAAACAAAATTTATCTATAGACAAAATTTATAAACAATGATCAAAAATTATGCTTACCAATACTGATAAACAATGATTACTTAAAATGTCCATAAACAATACCTATAAAAGATCCTTAAAAATGAAAAATTCATAAATTCACATATTATGAACAAATATAAAAATGCTTGATGAACATAAAAATAAAAATATTGATGAACATAAGAATAAAACAGTTTGATGAACATAAAAATAATGAAACACCTAAAATGGTATAAACTTAAAAAGTCACTGTAAGGAGAACCCCCCTCATCATCCACCAGTTNGATACAAGAAAAATTTTGTATCTAAAACACAGAGCTGTAGCCGTTTACTACATTCTGAGAAACCAAAAGTTATGTAATAAAACTTTATTCATTACATAAGAAAAGAAAAAAATATACTGTACAGGAGCAAGGATCAAAAAAAAAAGTTGGCATTCGAAATTTGTATCATCCTCAAAGTTAAATTACGTGTTTACTAATGTTTTAAAAAAAATGTCTAAAACATGACCTAACAATCATTAGAAAAAAAAAGAAGTTAGACAAGAACCAACCCAAAGAAACAGGCACCTAAAATGGTATAAACTTAAAAAGTCACTGTAAGGAGAACCCCCCTCATCATCCACCAGTTGTAAAAACACAGTTTGAAAAACCTTATAAGAACAATTAATTTACACACAGTAAGTTACAAAAATTATATATATAAAAAAATTACTGAAACCATTATGCAAAACAACCTATTGGCATTGCATCACAACTGGCATGGGACACAATCGTTCCATGGACATGCAACGGCCAGCGTCTCATACGAACGTATCACCATAACACTTCTCATACGTATACCAATAAAAATTTTAAATTAGTTTAAACGAATGAAAAAAAATTTGTACCACAAAGTTTTGTACAATTCAATTATTGAAAAAAATTAAAACCAATCCAATACGACTGATAATTTAGTATTCCGAGTTAAAACGACAAAAAAATTAGTATACAACCTATGAATTATGCATGGGTTCAGAAATCAAAGTCATTAGTGAGATCAATTAAGTGCACAAAAATTAACAAGTTAAAACTTAGAGAGATTAAAAAAAAAAAGACTTAAATTAATAGAAACGCCTAGGCAAAAACATNGAGAGATTTAAAATAAAAAAAAGACTTAAATTAATAGAACCGCCTAGGCAAAAACATTGAACTTAACACCTGCAAAAACTGAGTTAGAAATTACACCTTAAAAAATCACAGACATTTTTCTCACCAAAAAAATTGATCACATAAGTATGTTGAAACCATATGCATCATAGTCTACACACAACTATGTATAACAAACACACACCAAAAACAAAATTTATAAACAATGATCAACAACGCTGCTTACCAATACTGGTAACCAATGATTACTTAAAATGTCCATAAACAATACCTATAAAGTATGCTTAAAAAATGAAAATTCATAAATTCTCATATTATGAACAAATATAAAAACGCTTGATGAACATAAAAATAAAAAATATTGATGAACATAAGAATAAAACCAGTTTGATGAACATAAAATAACAAAAAGTGCTTGCAAGCAGACATAAACAAAATTAAAATCATCAACACTACAGATACAAAAAAATTTTGTATCTACAACACAGAGCTGTAGCCGTTTACTACATTCCGAGAATCCAAAAGTTATGTAATAAAACTTTATTCATTACATAAGAAAAGAAAAAAAATACTGTACAGGAGCAAGGATCAAAAAATGAAAGAAAATTGGCATTCGAAATTTGTGTCATCCTCAAAGTTTAATTACGTGTTTACTAATGTTAAAAATGTCTAAAACATGACCTAACAATCATTAGAAAAAATTGTAAAAGTTAGACAAGAACCAACTGTGTATCACTTGTTCGTTTATAAAATTAGTGATTACTTAATCAATGTATTATTGATAATGAAAGATTTGATGATTATTACATATTATTCCAACACAAATGAAAGAATGTTCTCAAATAAAGCAAAAAAAATGTTGAACCTCAAAAGACACTTAATTATTAGTTTTGCATTAACAATGAAGGTAACATTGTGAAAGAGAAGGTAACCTTGTAAAAGTTATGTACTTAAGTAATTATTAACATATGGATATTCAAAGGTTACGCAAAAGATTTTCCCCAAAGAGCATCAAAACAATTCAATTATTTAACAATTGACTCGAATCATTTTTTTTTTGTATTTATTTTAAATTATTATTATATATATATATGTCATATATATCATCTGGTTCTTTGACCAGGGAATCATAATTGATCTTCTGGTTTCTTTGACCAGGAATACCTTCTGATACATTTTTGATCAGGAAACTAAAATTAATAATTAACTTCTGGCTCTATTATGGCCAGGGAAAAGTAAAAGAAAAAAATTCTGGTTTAATTTACCAGCAAAAATCGGTGAGCTCAGGTATTACCCAGAGCAATCGGGACATATTTTTCCCAATTAGTTTAATAAATTAATCCCAAAAAATTTTGATGCATCTGTATCACCAGACACGATTCAGGAAAATAGATTCATCCCAAATATTCCTTTTTGTAATAATTCAAGTAAATATTAAA